CGGATGTGGCCCGCGGGCCTTACTTTGGATACCCATGGTCTAAAACAAGGAGATGCTTTATCGCCACTCCCTTTAAACTTTGCTTTAGAATATGCCATTAGGAAGGTCCAGGGAAACCAGGTGGGACTGAAATTAAACGGGACACATAAGCTGTTGGCCTTTGCCGATGATGTGAATCTACTGGGTTATAATGTAGATACCATAAAGAAAAACACACAAACTTTAATTGAGGCAAGTAAAGAGGCTGGTCAAGAATTAAACACAGAGAAAACTAAGTATATGTTGCTGTCTTGTCACCAAAATGCAGAGCAAAATCATGACATAAAGATAGGAAACAGATGTTTTGAAAATGTGGCACAGTTCAGATATTTGGGAGCAACGATAACAGATCGAAACCTGATTCTGGAGGAAATTAAGAGGAGATTGAACTCGGGTAATGCTTGCTACCAGTCAGTCCAGAACCTTTTGTCTTCTCGTCTACTGTCCAAAAACATAAAAATTAGAATATACAAAACTACAGTTTTGCCTGTGGTTCTGTATGGGTGTGAAACTTGGTCTCTGACATTAAGGGAGGAACATAGACTGAGGGTGTTTGAGAACAGGGTGTTGAGGAGAATATTTGGACCGAAGAGTGATGAAGTGACAGGAGACTAGACAAAACTGCACGATGAGGAGCTTCATAACTTGTACTTTTCTCCAAGTATAATTAGAATGATCAAGTCAAGGAGAATGAGGTGGGCAGGGCATCTAGCACCAATGGGGGAGACGAGGAATATGTATAGGATATTGATGGGAAAGCCAGAAGGAAAGAGACCACTGGGAAGACCAAGGCATATGTGGGTGGACAATAATAAAATGGATCTTGGAGAGATAGGATGGGATGGTATGGTTTGGATTGATCTGGCTCAGGATAAGGACCAGTGGAGGGCTCTTGTGAACATGGTAATGAACCTTCGGGTTCCATAAAATCCTGGGAAATTCTTGAGTAGCTGCACAATTGGCAGCTCCTCCAAAAGGGCTCAGTTCTATGAGTAAGGAAGTAAATAAGGCGTATATAATTTTGACTTCTCTCCAATTTAAGTATGGTCGCCAATGAGTCACACTTAATGACGTTGATGATCCCTTCATCAATAGAAAGCTACTGGATTACATTCTATACTTATTTCCAATATTTATTAGCTCAGTTGGCTTAACGACTGTGCTAAGGGGTTGAGCGACCGAGGAATTGGGTTTCGATTTCTGAAATGGGAGAGAGATTTTTCTCTTTTCAACAGCGTCGAGACCGGCTCCCTGTCTTACCTAGCCCCATACATAATGAGTACAGGCGTTGTTTCCACAGAGGAGAAAAGTTAGAAACGTGGAACTAACCACTCATCTACATCCAGTGCCGAGGTCAAGAATGGAGCTATACCTCCACTCCCTCATATGTCCTCATACTGTTGAGCTTAATTTAATTAAGTTCAGGACAACATTACTTCCATTATATATATATATATATATATATATATATATCCGGCTGGAAATTCAAACATACTCACAAAGAACTTCTGTTCTGTAAAATTGCCTACAAGACATGATGTGCTCTGGTTTGTAGAGTAGGTGTATTTCATTTTCATGTGAATTCATTGGTTCTTCTATAATTCCTTCTGCCGAGTGCTCCTGTTAAGTTGACTGTGTATACTTTCACAGTTTTAACATAAGAAAAGTTCCACCCAGTAGTCATTCAATGTTGATTAAATCAGGAAAAAATATACTTCTCCCTAATCTAAGGGTTTGCAATAGAACTATATCACATGAATCACAGTAAACTTGTTTGACGCTCTAGCATGTTGAACACACAAGAACAATTATATTTTTTTTTCAAGCAGCTGGAAACTTTGTTATTCCACCTCCGCTTTAAGCAAATAGCCTCCAACTAAATGAACCACAGACAATAATTAACCAAACTACTTAAGTGTTTGGTCTTATTGTCGAAGTTAAACTTCCATATCAGCTGTAACTAGAAAAATATAAGAATTAAATATTTATCATATATGTATGGCTGTTATCAATTGGTGGAGGGTGCCCTGAGGGTCCAAGGTCCTCAGGATTTGTAAGTTTTGAGGTTTTCACGGCGATGACAATGAAGAAAGTCGTCTTCTGGGTTTAGGCACCGTGTATTCTTCGTTTCGGCAGAAACTGCTCTATGCAGCTACTGCTCTATGCATTCCAAGCCATTCAACTGCTCTGAAGATGGAGGTGCTACGTTCCTCCGAAACGTCGGCCGAAACGAAGAATACACGGTGCCTAAACCCAGAGACGACTTTCTTCGTCCTCAGGATTTGTCTCATAGGATGGAAGATATTAAGTCAATACAGTGAATACCAACAGGTCCAGAAAGAAAATATATTTCACTTGATCACTCTGAAGTTAGGGTCTATTGTGTTTAACACTGGCTCGAGTAAATTTTAAATTCTTTAGATGTATTGTTGTGTTGTTAGACCTGTCATGAGGTACAAACTGGCTCTTAGTATCGTGCTCATTGTGCCCTTGATCCGAATCCTCAAACATTTTTCATAATTCGAGCTTCCATGGCCCTCAGGTAGAATTCAACCCAGGGAAGGCAAGTCAAGTCAAGTAAATAAATGTAATTAAAGGATACCAAAAGGTATTCAGGAACTCGGTTTCCTTGGCCATTCTGATTAGGGATGGCCAAAATGGGTCTTTACCAGTTCATTCATTAAATACCAAGAAGATGAATATGGATGTTCAGTTCACAACTGGGTTTTTGGAAATATTTTCTAGAACTGGTATCAGAAGGGCTTGAGGAAGTGTTAAATAGACTGTCAAAGTTTCAATAGGGACAAAAATATTACAGATATGTATAACGATATAAATCAATTAAGGATGATTACAAAAGTAGAGCTAATTCGGCCAATTGCATGGCCTCTACCTACACAGAACACAGACAAGAAAAAGATATGGATATACATCAATACAACAAGCGAGATTCGAACCCATGACCCAAATGTTTGACTGTTTTAAGATACAAGTAGTAAGCACTTCAGGCAATGCAACCACTTTAATCGGCTCATGTTCTTCTTTTGCAATTAAAATTTCCACTGATATGTTGAAATGGTACAAAGCACCAGGTATTCCATTCCTGATTTAAGCAAGAGGTTCTGAGACCCGTTGCTTGTTCATTTTGTTTGGAATAAAGAACTGCTGCAGCAGTGGAAAGAAATCATTACAGAACTGATTTATACAAATTAACATAAAATTAATTGATGTAATTATTAATAAATATCATTATCCTTCATGTAAAATGATGTCCATCATTGGTCTATCAAGTTTAATTCCAAAAGCAGACAAAACTGCTGGTGTTCATCAGTTCTTTCTTCAACGTAACGTCAGATNGTAGAATTCAACCCAGGGAAGGCAAGTCAAGTCAAGTAAATAAATGTAATTAAAGGATACCAAAAGGTATTCAGGAACTCGGTTTCCTTGGCCATTCTGATTAGGGATGGCCAAAATGGGTCTTTACCAGTTCATTCATTAAATACCAAGAAGATGAATATGGATGTTCAGTTCACAACTGGGTTTTTGGAAATATTTTCTAGAACTGGTATCAGAAGGGCTTGAGGAAGTGTTAAATAGACTGTCAAAGTTTCAATAGGGACAAAAATATTACAGATATGTATAACGATATAAATCAATTAAGGATGATTACAAAAGTAGAGCTAATTCGGCAGGCTTATTGGCAGGCTTCTGTGAACACAGTAATGAAACTTCATGATCCATAAAATATTGGGAAATTCTTGAGAAGCTGAGTGACTGGTGGCTTCTGAAGAAATACTCAGCTCTGTAGAGTTAGTTTAGTTACTTATGGTCTTGGGGGGGGAGTACATTGGCTATTTATAGACTTCAAGAAACCTATGTAGGATGCAGGACAGGAGTATTCTGTAATATTCTTATTTAATTTAGCATACCCATGAAATTAATTGGCCTACTCAAAATGTGTAACTGAAAGCTGCATGTACAATATTCTGTATGGGTTAACTTTGTCTGCCGCCATTTCCTATCAAAACTCAATATAAAAAATAGATTCTGTATTTCAGTAACCTGTTGCAATTGTTCAGATTAGCATCCGTTGTTTATCTTCCATAAAGACAACACCACACGCTGTTGAGGAAGCACACACAAACCAGGAGGATGTGGCAGTCAAAAACTGAAAGTAGACCGTGAACGTGAGGGGCAAGTAGCCGAGAAAATACACCTTGATACATTTACGAAAATGACGACACCCCGGGTGAGGTGAAATAATATGCAACAGAAATTGTAAAGGATTGCACGTTACTTAGAAAGAAGACTACAGCGTGTAATTTTAACACGAATTAAAACAGTGTATCAGTTTTTAACACAGTTTTAGTAAAATATCTGTAACACAAAAACACCTGAAGATGGCTGTTTGAGGCCGAAACATGTAGTGTTGAAGTGTAGAATGTAAAAGTGTTGCAATTTTGATGGAAGATAAGCAATGGATGATAATAAAAAATAGAGATGGTTTGTCACCACGGCTTTCAAACTTCAGCTTAGAATATGCCATTAGGAATGTCAAAGAGAATAAGGAAGAATTTGAATTTAATGGGACACGTTAACTTCTGGTCTATATAGAAAATGTTAATTTATTGGATGACTACATCATATCTACTGATGCAATAGGCTTTCAAAGGCACAATAGATCACTGTGGTCATGGTGCAAGGGCCAAAAAGGCCCACCGCTTATACATTCAATAGGCTTTATTGATATGGCTATACCTCTCTGATAGGCTTAATTCCTGTGAACATGGTTTCATATTCTACTGACTCTTTTATCTTTATGCTGGAATTTTTATTATTTTTCAGCATTAATGGGCTTAAAATAATTAGAGAAACTTGACCTAATAAAATAGATATCAGAGTATGAAAATTTCCCCTCAGGATGCCAATGAATTAAAATTTTGTAATATTTTTCTTTCCAGATCATGGAGGCTATCGCTGCAGTCATGCTAAGTATATGGGCTGCAGTATTAGACTCTGTTGTGAGCCAGTTTATAGTTCAAGAAGTGAATGTTGGTAGCACAGCTGTTTTACCCTGTCCCAGCAATGATGACCACCACAGGTTCCAATTTTGGCAGCTACAGGGGGACCAGATAGTTGGGCCAGGAAATGAAGTCAACATAGCAAAATACAAGTATGAGGTGTTGTCTGGTACTTTGTACATTAAGGTGAGGTGATTTCCTCTAACACTACTAGAAATGAAATACAATCAAATTATGTACTGAGGCTTTAGGTAACAACACATTAAATCTTGTATATGAAGGGTTTTCAAATTTTGCCATAATTTTATTTCTTAAAAGAAATGTTATTGAAACAGTACTTATTTATGGTTTATTTAAATTGGTTGACAATTTGGATGATGGACAGGGTCAGCAGAACCTGGACACTTGCCAAAGCAAGATGAACCGGGTAGACTTGAACCTGGCCAAAGTCATAATTATCAATCAAAAATAAGATGGGCACCGAACACTTTTAGACCATTTAAATCAGCGGGAATGGATGGAATTGTACCGGCATTTTTCCAACATGGGGCAGAACTTTTAGTTCCACACCTATGCCGCATATATAGAGCCTGCTTGGCATATGGTTTCATCCCCACAGCCTGGAGGCAAGTTAAGGTGATGTTTATTCCAAAGCCCGGGAAACTTGATTATACCGAGGCTAAGGCTTATCATCCTATCAGCCTGTCGTCTCTCCTTTTGAAAACAATGGAGAAACTAGTGGATAGGCATATCAGGGATGGGGTATTGAGGACATATTCTCTACACCGAAACCAACATGCCTACCAAACAGGTAAATCTACCGAAGTGCACTACACAATGTGGTAACATGCATAGAAAGTGCAATTGAACACAAGGATATTGCCTTATGAGCATTCCTTGATATAGAGGGAGCTTTTGATAGAACCTCATTTGATGTAATCAAACAGGCTGCTGGAAGGCATGGCATAGGGCCTGCAATATGCACATGGATCAATGCTATGCTGGAAAGCAGAACCATAGCTGCTACATTATTGGGAGAAACCCTGGGGGCGTCCGCATCTAGGTGATGTCCGTACGGGGCGTACTTTCGCCTCTGCTGTGGACTCTGGTCGTTGACGATCTCCTGTGGGGACTTAATGATGATGGGTATTATACAGTAGGATATGCTGATGACATAGTAATCCTTATAAATGGAAAATTCCTTTCAACCGTATCAGAGCGTCTTCAAACAGCTCTGTACATGGTCCAATGATGGTGTGAAAGAACAGGTCTTTCCATCAATCCCAATAAGACGGTAATTATACCGTTTACTAGGAAGAGAAATATAAAGGGTCTTAAGGAACCTACTCTCTTCAATAAGACAATCCAGCTCTCCAGCAATGTCAAGTACCTTGGTCTAGAATTAGACAAGGGACTGACATGGAAAAAGCAGCTGGACAAAGTCATTAACAAAGCCTATAAGGCTTTTTGGACATGCAGAAGCATGTTTGGTAAAACTTGGGGACTGCAGCCACACGTTATACATTGGATATACTGCAGTTGTGAGACCCATAATTACTTATGGTGCCACAGTATGGTGGCCCAGAGTTAAACTCAAGACAAGCAAGACAGAACTTAGCAAATTGCAAAGGTTGGCTTGCTTAGGTATCACAGGAGCATTTCGAACATCTCCAACAGCTGCACTGGAGATACTCCTTGGACTCCCCCCCACTGCATGTACAGTTGGATGCAGAAGCCAGGGCAGGAATTTACCGTCTCCAGTGCAGTGGAAACCTAGATCTGATGGTTTTGGCCATGCATACATGACTCAGGACATGAAAAAAGAACCCATATTACAAATGGGGTCTGACAAAATGATACTGAGACATGTATATGAAAAACCCTTCACGGTTAGATTTCCTACCAGGAGTGAATGGGAAGATGGGTTTCGGCCTGACAGAAAAGGGGGACTGATCTGGTATACAGATGGTTCCAAGACAAATAAGGGCACTGGAGCTGGTGTGTACTGCCATGGCACGAGGCGGAAACTTAGTTTTAGCCTTGGGCAGTACACGGCAGTATTCCAGGCAGAAGTATATGCCATTAAAGCATGTATTATGGAGAATTTAGATAGGAACTATAGAAATAGGAACATCTACATTCTGACAGCCAAGCTCAACTTAAAGCACTTGACAAACACCAGATCAATTAAAAATTGGTCTGGGATTGCCACCAAACCCTCATGGAACTGGCCAAACATAACAGGGTACAACTGATATGGGTGCCGGGGCATGAGGGTATTGTTGGAAATGAAGCAGCAGACCAATCAGCTAAAATTGGAGCTGAACATCCATTCATAGGACCTGAACCAGCCTGTGGCATCTCTCTTGGAGTTGCCAAACAGGCAATCAGGGACTGGACTAACATAAAACATAAGAAATACTGGGAATCCTTAACTGGACTCAGGGAAGCAAAGAGACTCATACGAGGACCTTCCACTAAAAGAGTGAAGGAACTCTTGAAGCTCAGCAGGAACCAGCTACGATGGGTGGTAGGACTATTTACAGGACACTGTCACCTCAAAGGACACCTGTTCAAACTGGGACTAAGTGATAGTCCCACTTGTGAGAGGTGTCAGATAGAAAATGAAACAGCCACACACGTCCTGTGTGAATGTGAGGCTTTAGCTTATTTAAGACTATGTCACTTGGGTCAGTACTTTATGGAACCAAGTGACTATTTTGACGCCCCCACATCCAAAATCCTGCGCTTCATCCGAAGCGTGGGGTTGCTGAGGGAATAATTAAAAAATGGGAAGCACAATGGACCACTGAGGTCTAGGTGCAAGGGCCGAGAAGGCCTACCCCTCATACATACATACATATGGTTTATTTAATGATGCTGTCAGCAGCTCAGCTTGTATAGCACTTGCTCCATCACAGTTTGTAATATAATACCTACATTACAAGTATAACATACCCCTGTGGAAAAACATGCATTTGATTTAAATTCTGAATTGTAACATAACCTCTGATAACCTTGAAGATATATGGTTCATCACTTCATTCATAAAAACAGACAGTCCAGCACAGAGTAGAGACACATAAATTCGCCTCTGCAGAAAAATTAAAAAGACTATGGCATTAGCAAACAAGATGGTTACCATGTTTACAGATGCTAAAGGACTTAGCCATATCCTGGAACAAGGCTGAATAGTTAATACTGCTGCCTTTGCAGAGTAAAAAGGGGCTCTGAAACTCTCTCTCATGAAGAAGTGTCCACAACTTCTGTACAAGCATGTTTGTTGTCTCCACAGAAATGATCAACTACATATGGATAAAGTGATTCTGAATATGCTGCATTGGGGTTGGGGTGTTCTTCTCCATCCCTTTTACAATCCTGATTTATAATTATGTGTCTTCCATCTGTTTGTGCTGCTAAGAATGAGAACGTTGGGAAGCAAAATATCTGAGTTGAATGACAAATGCATTCTTTGACTGATGTTAACATCAACCAAAAATTCCTTATAAAATTAGATTAAACATCGTGTGGAACAAATATAAGCTGAAAGCAGGAAGCTGCCTTTGAAAATTAGGATATTACTTTCTGTGTGCTAATTTTAAGGATATTTAGAAATGTTCATTCCAAATTTTGACACCCTAAAAAAATATAAGGAACACAGTCATTTATAAGTTAATGAATTATACAGCATCTATTATGTAATACTTTTGAACACTTCTAAATTATGTGCAAGGAACAGTAAAAGTTGACACACACCTTTAGCTAGGAATCAAATGTCACTAAAGCATATGCACATAAAATTTTATTAGTGTTAGCATTCTGTTCCCTTTTCATTGCAGGTGGTGCACTGATCACACCAACAGTCATTTGTCAGGTGTGAAATTCAGACAGCTATATTAAATGACAAAGTACTCTACTGTTTTGTGAGACATCAACCATTTATCTCGAAGAAGTATGCATGTTTGTAGGGTTATCAGCTATGAGGTACTCCTATGGCATGCACTCCCATTTCTGTTCTCCCTAACTGCTTCTTCATTTTAGAGTATACATATTATAGAGAAGCTTGTGGTATTGGGGTGGGTTTTCTCTGATTACTTTGGTTTGCTGCATCAAATTGCATGCCAACTACTCCAAATTCACAAATCATCTTATAATTGATGTTATACAGTCTTAATATTGGCAGCATCATTAAGTAACCAATCTGTACACTGGGACTCAAACTAACGCAGATCTGTCCCTGTAATCCAGATCATGACGTTACTGCATTTCAGATTAACTCTGCAGGTTACAGTCTACAGACAACAATATTTTGTTTGTCTAGCAACATCCTAGTTGCTACTTTGCAACTGAAATTAAATACAGTAAGATCTAGATTACCCACTTTGCAGATTAGCAACAGAATTTTAAAACTGTTTAATGATTTAAATGTTGTCCATCATTTATTACATCTGTCTGAGTAATATGTATCAGTGATAATTTAAAGTGATTTGCAGTAGACTATACATTTCACCCTGCTGCAATTTTCTATTTTATTATTTTATGACATTTCACCCTACCCTGCTATCACTGGACAAGGGTTGCTTTCTACAGTTGCAAAGATATTTGTCTCACTGTTTAGTTTCATAGTAATAATTGATTTCTGAGGTTGAATGCAGCATGGATAATGGGTATTTCCAGATTTTATAATTATCCATGTTTTTAATTGGTTTTAAATTGTTTTTTAATCATTACTGCAGATAACCGAGAGTTTAATGTAAAGGCAAAAAAGATGCCTCATTTGATACCCTTTTTTCACTCTTTTCTGCTAAGATGATAAAGGTGGACAGAATGACACATAAATACTAGAATAAGAGATAAATATGGTTTTGAGTACCTTACTAAAATATAAACTATGGAGTCTTTAAGTACTTCATTTACAGGGTTTCTTATATGGACGAAAATAAGACTTCCATTCAGCCCCAGAGAAAGGGAATATTTAACTATTCATAACCCTGTGTTGCAGAGTGTGTCAACAGCTGAAGCTGGATTTTACAAGTGCATCTCTAAAGGACTGACAGATCCATCATTCAACATACAGGGTGTAGAGTTAGTTGTGAAGAAAGACTGGGAAGAAGTGTGGGAAACAGATACTGAAGTATGTTGTTTCATGAAATTGATGCCATTAACATTTTCTGGTAACACTAATTTAAAGGCTGGAGCATGAATTTAAAATGTTGTGTGAGATGATCTTTCATCTTAAAGGAACAACATGAACTGAGGATAGTTGCAAGGAGGGTGATGAGCAGAACATTTGGACCCCAAGATAGGGGAAGTAATAACAGCTGGAGAAAGGTGTACAAAGGAAAATTTCACAATATGCACTTATGCCAGGTGTTTTTCCAATGACCATATTGAGGATGAAACAGATGGTGAATGTTACAGGTTATGAGAAAGGCACACAAAATTTTAGCAGGAAAACCTGAGAAAGAAAGGAGCACTCTGGTCAATTTGGTCTAGTTTAATAGGAAAATATTAAAATGACTCCTCATAAGGTATGCGGACTGGATTAATCTGGCTCAGAACAGGATCCAGTAGTAGGCGCTTGTGTGAACACAATAATAAACCTTCAGGTGCCATAAGACAGGAAATTTCTTGAATAGCTAAGCAACTATAAGATTCTCAAGATCAACTCTACTCCATGCAGTAATTATGCAAGGACATAAACTAGAATGATTACATTCCTTATGCTGTCATAAGAACTCAGCACACATGTAACTGTGCAAATGAAAGAACCCCTACACTTCGTATAGGAATTACTCCTATTACAAAGGCTTGAATTAATACTGATGTTGCATTATGTTGCAGACAAATGTTTACCGAGTACTTGTGGTTGTTGCAGCATTAATGCTACTACTTGGCTTAGCGTTTTTTGCATACAGACTCATTAAAAGAAGAAGATCATCCAGATTTAGAGGTAAGTTCCTTTATGCCAGTTTGCAACCTTTTGAAATATTAACAAAATCCCTGAAGCCAATATTATCAAAACCTGACTAGCAAACAGTTTCTGGAATTGATATATTATGCAAGAACAGCCAGATGACCTAACAGTGAAAATTATTAAGGTTACTTACTCTCTTCTGGTAGAAAGGTACATACATTTTTGAGGAACCTGCCCTCTCTCCATCTTCAATCTTCTACATGGAGCATGGAGGCAGCAGGTTCCTCTGGTACCTTTCTGCCAGAGAACACGGAACCATATTCAAGAAGATAGTAGGCGGCATCATCGTTATCACCATGAGAACCTGAAATCTCACACGGCAGAAATTACATTTGCTATGAAGGAAATGCAACCAGTACATCCATGTTAGTTTAGTTAGCAAGTTAACAATCATAAATAATATATACATGTTGGGCAGGTCTACAAATCAGTGAACTGATTTATGAAAATGTCTTTCCTAATTTCTAGATATGTCTGATGAAGAATCTCCAGATGAAGGTACAGCACATGGAGGATCTTACAATGTTTCGAACCTTCCATCTATGACACAGACAAACATTTCTACTAGTCAGGGTATGGAGAATCCAGCTCTTGATACTGATTTTCCTGAAGGGTTCAAAACTCTTCAGACTACAAGCGACTCTCGGATGTGATAGAGCATAGCAAAAGAAAGTAGTGAAACTGGAAACATGATGAGTGTCTGTGAATGAACAATTTTTTTGTGTATAAAATTTTCAGTATTTGTTATATTACAGTTGCATATATTTTCTAATTGGCAACCAAATACAACAGTGAAAATATTTGTAAGAAATAAAGAACAGTTAAAACTGATATCACATTTTGCATGCCTGGCTCTAATTGTTGCCAAACCAAATGTAAAGAAACATTTTGCACAGCTACTACATAATTATTTTAAAGTCTGCAAAAATTATCTCAGCATAGTTGTATATTTTTTAAAGTTACACTAAATGGTGTTAGTGCTGCTCCACTGTTTGTTACAGGGCTCTGGCTACCCACACAAAACATTCAATAACAATAGGTGTGGTTCTGGCAGACCCCTCACTTTGGCTCTAAATTTAAGGAACATCCCTCCCCAACATTCAAATGGATCCCTGTAGCTTCATTTCTCAAACAGAAGTTGCTTTTTCTTTGGTGATGTCTCAGTCTAACTTCTGCAAGAAAAATTTTGGAAATACATGCTTAATTTCCTACCTCACCAAATGTCATATTCAAAACTACAATACTAAATAAAGAAATTTAATATTATATTTTAGCGTCCTGTTGCACTGATTCACGTTCATGATGTGTATTTGTACCAACTATCTTAGAGTGCACACAATTTCACCTTTCTCTTCACTACATGTTTTGGCACTAATGTGCCATCTTCAGGTGTGGTTTTGTTTACGTAACTCACGAATTTGAAGAGCGACATATAGACGATAAATCTTGAAAAGTTTTAATATATAAATTTTATTATTATACATGACATATTTACATTGTAATCATTTTATAAAGGAGACATGATGGCATACAATGGTTTGACATAAACAAAACCACATCTGAAGATGGCACATTAGTGCCGAAACATGTAGTGAAGAGAAAGGTGAAACTGTGTGCACTGTAAGACGGTTGGTACAAGTACACATCATGAAAGAAATTTAAGTGTCTACATGGTTTCTCCTGTTCATACACACACACATATGCACCATACATAAACCTGAATTAGTTGGAGATTCTTGTGATACCTATTACCATAAAATAATCTGTACTCACTGCAGTGCTGTGTATGCATATGCATGCTGGAGCTGGTAAAGGTACAGTTTACAGTGTGCTGAAGTAACTCCATATCGTAACATGACTTTTAACTCATTCCATGTGAAACATAAAAACTCTGCTCTACAGAAAGCCATTTTCCTGTAGAAACCCAAACTAAAAGAAGATGAGAAAATCTAAATACTTCATATAAAAGCTTATTTTCATATGTTTATCTCAGAAGATTTACTTTACAAATTTGTTTCACAACATACAGAGCTCCTTCAATAACAGCAACAATGGTGTGTTCTGAGTTTACTCTAAGCAGAATGAAGCGTGTAACAAAAATGTCAAGTTATTTACTTTATTCTGAAATGTTACAACAAATATCATTAAAATGAAAATATCCAGTAAAGAGTACAGAATCAGAATGTGAAGAAATGCTTCAGTTACAATTATGCTTAGCTTGCTAAACATTGGTTATTTAAGGCCATAACAAAGTGGGTAGCCAAACTGTATGAGATTGCATCTGATCTGGGACTTCTCACATTGCTAGCATTAGTAACATCATATAAAGTGACAATGAAAATATTAGGAAGTTAATGAAATGTTTATTGTTTAACAAAATACTGTAGAAAACATCAGATCAATTAACAGTGGCCTCGATCTTGAGTTCGCTTCCTTGGCGCACATTTGATTATATTATCAACACGCAGAATCATTTCTGCTGCTTCTGAAGCTGATAAGACTACCTGCCTCTTCACAACAAATGATTCTGTTATGCCAAGCTGCTTCATACACCCAACTTTTCCCTGATCCATGTCTGAAAAAAAAATTAATTACTGTATATTATTACATAAAGAAGCATTTTGCAATTCAAGAAGTCCACCTGGTTAATGAGCTTGTCAGGACGGTCAGAGGTTTAGAGGTACTTCAAACAGATTATTTGTCTCTCTTCACAACTGTGTGGCTACACACATGCTTAATAATTGAACAACAAAAAAGAACATATATTTTACAGAGAATGCTATGGTAAAAATAACTACAAAGAATTTTGTAAGTCTCTTATTTTAATCCATACAAAAGAAAAACGGTGATAAAACTGTAAGGTCTTCCTACAGCATTTCAACATTCTCATAACTGTATCGATTTCAGCTTAATCCTTATGAACTTTTATTTCTTAAAAGAATGCTGTCTTCTGGGATGTGGTGCTGTGCAGATATTTTGTTAACCGACATGTTGGAGGAATGTATCGCCTTCATATTCAGGGTATAAGAAATCCGCGAGCAATGAACCAGCGTGAGCAGGTGTCTGTAGACTGAGTGCCAGTCAAGACACCTAGCTATATATGAACAGCAAGGGAAGGGAGAAGGGCCAACAGGTAGAAGGCCAGAGCAGGTATAGTATCCCGTTGGGGGGGGGGGGCAAAGTCAATGGCCTCATGGCTAAGCTGTCACTTCAAATCTTACATTCTATTTCTTAGTTTTAACATCTCCTTACAGCTCAACCTCTGTGTTACTTACCAAGTCCCATGGTGTTAAATCCCTGACTGTGAGCTGCACGCAACTCGCTAATCAACTGTGCAGAGTCATAGCCAGCATTATCCGCAATTGCCGTCGGCAATGTCTGCAAAGCCTTAGCAAATGACTCCATGGCAACAGAATCTTTGCCAGGAGTCCTGGCTGCCTCAGCCTGCACAGCACAAGCCATCAGCATTTCACTGCAGCCTAGGACAGAAATATTACTGTAAAAACCCAAAGAAACATATAATATAGTGGTAAGAATAGAAGGATTTCAAATAACTCTTATGGATATTATTAACAAAACCCATAACTGAACTTTTATGGAAAGGGTTATTATTCCCAAAGACGTCAAATTACCTTCATCTTTCTAATTATGTGGGGGGGGGGGCAGCTGAGGAAATATGCATACAAAGAATCAAATGAATTAGCACCACATTCTACTTACAAAATAACTGAAGGGGGAATGAGAACTTTACCTCCACCATAAACAGTACGAGTCTCCCTAACAGTTGCTGCTAATACACAAAGAGCATCATGAAGAGAGCGCTCCGCTTCATCAAGTATCTGTTGTGTGGCACCTCTTATCACAATTGTGCAAGCTTCACCCAATGCCACACCACCAAAACGAAGAAGTGTGTCCTCACCAATCATAACCTACAAACAATCGTGTATCAAGCTACAACAAAACTGTGTCACATATTTTTTAACTTTCATAGTACCATAACTGTCACATTGTTCCTCCTGTGAATAAAATATTCTGACCTGTTCAATGACATCACAATGTCCAAGCTTCACAAGCTCAGGGTTATCAAACGTAGAGACAATTTCTCCTCCTGTGACAAGTGCCAAGCGTTCAATACCATCAAAGTCAGCATGTTCAATAGCCATAACACCAGCATCCGCAAATAACTGCTCCGGGTAATTGTAGATTAACTGTCTGAAAATCCATAAACATATATAAATTAAAAGGAAACAAACAAGTGGAGCGAAGCAGATGGAAAATTTCTTGCATTTGGCCTACATATTATTTAGGCCCAAAGTGTAGCAACCCACTCAGTATACATTAAAAGAAAAGAAAAAAAAGAGACCCCACACAATTACTGTCAGAAATGTTTTGTATGGGTGCACAGGCGACCAACTTACAGAATTAAAACTGTGGATTACTGCAGCTGTGGACAGCAGAACCCCAGAGATGCTGAGGTGTGTATGGGTCAAAAATCATTTCCTGGCTAAATATCCATTGAGCCAGAAAATGAATAAAGACAGATTTAATGATGGAAACCTTCCAAGGTGAACTTCACTTCAGTGCACTGTTTCTTCAACAGACATGATTACAAAAATACAGCCTCCAAAATTCCCATGGTGACCTTCTGGACACGTTTGTTATGCTGAATTCTAATCTTCATTATTTACATAATTTTTATATTTTAATAACTGTTGACAGAAGTATAATTTTTTGTAGACATATGATGTAAAATGTCACAAACGTAAAAGTAGCTTCTGAAGTAGTGCTCCTCCATGACAATGCACATACACACAAAACTGCTCACATTCAAGCACTGCTGGGGCACTTGAGCTTGGAGTTACCTGACCACCCTCCATACACCCTTATCTCACTCTGAGCAACTACCACCTGTTAACCTATTTGTTGAGATCACAGCACTTCAAAAATAATGAGGAGCTGATGGTAGGTGCAAAAACACGGTTGACCTCACAGGCAGCTGACTTCTTTGACACAGGCATAGAAAAATTTACTCAATATGAGAATTTCCTTTCCCAATATCTCTTGTATTTCAACAGCATAAAAGTGTGCTGACATATCAATATCTCTTATGAATACCATCAATAAAACCACAATACAAAGCCTGAAGCCACAAGATATATAACTTGCACTAGTGTCTCATGCACAAACATTCAGACTGCCAAGAGTATGTACACAGATATTCATAACTGATAAGCACAAGAATGGTTCATCTCATACAAAAGGAATTCACTACTTCTATACTTTCTATTACAGGTTATTAACTGTTATATACACAAATATGAATCAATCAATAATCATCAGTTCTTCAGTTAAATCTGCTCCTGTAACACATTTTGTTCTGACATAAAAGGTGAGAATTTGTTGAAGGCTGAAAACTTTTCATGTATCTCTAAAATTAATGTGATGTTGCCAATAGCCACCTACCTATTAATAAACACATTTGCATTATGTTTAAGGATCTTGTTCACTTTATCTTGCATCTTCTCCTTCTCAGCCAATTCCATTTCAGCTATTTTAGCCATCGAGTCAACCCGTACCTGAGATCCAAAAACTTTGATTTTGTCAGTATCCATAGGGGTATTTGCTATTAGTATGCGAGCATTCTCAACACGCTTGGGCTGGTGCAATCCCACTTTTTTGTCCAGAAGGAAACCTACACAAGAACCACACAACTATACCAGAACTATAAATATGAAAGCTTCAAGAGGATTAATGAAGACAAGACTGTACACAATGAACTCCATAGAAAAATGTATTTAAAGCAACATAAAAAAATTGTGCTTTCAATTAAAACAAATACTTTTAAATCCTTACAGGAAAAGGACTCTTTTATAAATTATATGAAATAATCTGGGCACGGGATGTGGCCATCAGCACATTTTATAAGTAAATAAAACTAATTGTTAGCGACCTGTGTAGTCTAGGGGCGACGTTCCCACCTCATGACTCAAAGTACGCAGGTTCAAACCTGGCGGAGGTCACGGAATTTTTAAGGGCGAAAAAATTCAGGGAACAAGTCCTCCGGGAAGGACTTTAACCTGTGGGTCGCGTGTCGTAGATTTATGGCACATAAAAGATCCTCATGTCTCTAGGAGACCTCTGAGCAAAATTAGGCAAAGTTTCCTGCCCAAGTAGTTTCCAATGCCTCCGGTAGATGGGGAAGATATCGGGTACCACTGCCAGCCTCGCTGGCTGAACGGGGCTGATAGTGAGCACCAGTAACGACAGGGTATGGCAACTGGTAGAATATCAAAGGGGGATGTACAATAGACTATTAGTCACGGTGCATGGGGAAACCCACCTTCTCCAATAATAATAATAATAATATGTTAATACTGTTTTATTTTTGCATCACTAAAAATTTGATCAGTGTGATCATCAGTAGGTGGTTAATAACTGTAATCACTTAATTGTTGGACTAACATGGACCTATATTAGTGAACATCGTGAATTGGATATCAAATGTTTAAATTCTGGGCCATATTCTGATTTTCTTATTAAGTGATATGGTTAAAATTTGAGAACTAAAAATGTTAAATACTAAAAGTAGTTGAATAAACTGATTGATAAAATAGAATACAATATAAATGGGATGACCTCTGTAATATGATCAATCATGTTTTCCTTCATGTTTGTACATTTTATAGAAATGTGTCCTGAATAGTTGTTTGTAGCTTTATGTACTGTAGGTCTGCAGTAGGAGCAGGGGTTTGTATATTTGTACTGATTACGTATATACTGAATGTGCTTATGGGATGCAGTTCTGATGACCTTTTATAAGCACATTTCTTCTCTTCACTATATATCATTGTTTATGTAATTATTTCATTCAGTATGCACGTTTATAAATGTTGTATATGATATGAGTGCTTAAGTGTAGTCATTGATTGTAAGAGTGACTCACAAGTGAAAGTGATACACAGTGTTCACTAATATAGATCCATACTGATTCAACAATTCAATGGTAAAAGTTAAGTATTTACTGTAGCCAGGATGATCACACGGATCAAAACATGTGGTGTAAAAATAAAACAGTATTAACACGTTAATTAGTTTTATTTACTTATAAAATGTTGTGCTGATGGCCACATTACCACCCTCCATTGATGATACATAACAGGATGCAAACAATAAAGACAAAATTGTCTAGCAATGCAAAAGAAAGGAGAAAATAAATCCTTCTCAGTGAAACGACTGAACAGTCATTTTAGAGATATATAAGTTAAATATGTAGTCAGCTCTTGATTTAAAAATAAGGATTTGTTAACTTTTCTGTTACAAAAAGCTCACAATGCTATTAGTTTAGTGTGTTGCATACTCCTAAACATTTTACACCATAATATCAAATTGTCTTACTGCTATGAAAAAGTTTTGTTTTGTAAGTATCATTTGCTTCTGGTTACAACAGATAGCAACAAACAATAAAAGTTGAATAAGACTCGCTTTTAAACATACCATATACATTTTAAAAATTTTGACATCTCATCTTATCATAGAGGATATCAGAATAGATTCTACAGTTGTTCTTTATGCAGCATGTTTCACACTTTCCATCTTATGTAGTATGCTACTGATGTTTTATTTTACAGTGCAAAAAATCTCAACATAATGTTTATAAAACCAGAGGTGACATGTTTCTATTTCATATGCAGATATTCAGGCCCCCACATAACTTCAATACCTAAAAGAACACAATAAGAAGGATCAGCTTTTCTACGCATAACAAATGAAAAAGACACATACTGAACAAAACCAGAGAAAGTAGAGTGAAACTACGACAGGGTGCATATGGCTTATAATGGGGACGTCGTTATAGCAACAAAACCAAAGGAACTGTCAACTTCTTAATGTTACATGTATGGAAACACACATCTGCCATAATGATTTGTAACTCGGTGCCACTATTTTGCTGTAGCATTTTGCGTCAACTGTACTTGCAGCTTCACTTCAGAAGTTATTTACGGCCAGCAGTCCATAATAGTCTAATTAACCCATCCTCTCTGTACACTGGCACTGTACATTTCTGTGATTATTAGTTTCTGTAACTCCTGGCTACAGATCCAGAGGTACTGGATTCGATTCCCGGCACTACTAGATTTTCTGAGAAGTATCTGTCTGGACTGGGCTCCACTCGGCCTCATGAGGATAATCGAGGAGCTATTTCAAGGAAATAGTGGCTCCAGTCTGGAAAACTGAGATTAATGGCTGTGGGGATCTGTTGCACTGACCATGTGATACCCTCTATCTGCAAAAAGTTAGCACTAACTTCGCTAAAAAGAGGCAGTCGCTAGGTCAGTATAGTTCGCTTGTGGACTACAGGCCACAGAGTTTGTTCTTTTTTTGTTTATAACCCACATGTTTGAGTTCCATGAAAATTTAATGCAAAATGCAAGATACTAACACCAGAACCAAAGGAAATATTACTTTCACTGAAGATAATATAAGAATTAAATCGACGTAAAGAAATATTCAAAAACAAACTGCATTTAAGAAACAGTCTGCAACTGCACAGAACAGGAACTGTAATAATAAAAAAGCATGTGTAATAAAATGTGCACTTTCTCAGAAGCTATTTCTCAGTAATTCCTCATTTGACTAAAATTGAACCCAATGAGGCCTAGCAACAGATTGTTATGACCAGGGCCCGGATTTTGACGACATGTCATCTTTTTTTCCTTGTATCCTATGCAATGCTCTTAAATATATAAATCTCAGATATGAGCTGCTGGTTACAGAAATGTAAATTTTATAGGTAATTTTTTGTCATTCTTTGGTTTAAGGTCATTTTTTCATTTTGGGGGTAATTATTTTAGGCTTTTAAGGGTATTTCTTATCATTTTTGGCCATTTTAGGGAATTTTTCTTCATATGTTTTCTGAAATGTGAATAATATGGAAGCAAAGTGTTCTTTCACTTTCTCCTAAGCACTCTCTACAAAGGCCATAGTATACAATAATAGGTTGTAATCCTGGCCCGCCCTTTCCATTCGTTTTGCAGAAATGCTGACAATACATATCATAAAACAGGGTACGACAATGACTACTCACACTGAGGGTCTTTGTACAAAGCAATTTCCTTAGTTACACATATTTCTAGCCAGAATTTCTTGCTTCATATGACATTGTTGTTCAATAAACTCCTTCTGTCTTCAGTTCCTTGCCCTTGACCGTACAGATAGAGATACAGTTGACAAAAGGTTCTCGGTGAGAAAAGTTCAGTTCTGTGTTGCACAGGAGTGATTAATTTTATCACGATGCCAAAAGCAAAGCCAACTAAACCGTGTCATTTAAAGCAATTTGTAGCTGAGTTTGGAGATGATAAATTTTCAACCGATGGTGACATTTTATACTGCAAGATGTGCGACACAAAAGTAGCGGCAGAAAAAAGATTCACAGTACAACATATTGGCCGCGACAAGCATATACAAGCTGTGCAAATTTCGAACAAAAAGAAACCTGTGCAAATGTTACTGCAACAGTGTTCATCTGGAGGTAGAAATAAGTCATCGGATTTTTTCAGAGATCTGTGTGATGTGACGTCCGCAAATATTCCGTTTTGGGCTGTGAAAAATGGAAAACTGAAAAACTTTCTGGAAGTAAACTGTGGTCGTTCCATCCTGGATGAATCCACACTCAGGAAAAATTACCTTTCCCAGCGCTACAACAGTATCCTGGAAATGATTAGGAATAAAGTGCATGGGAAGATTTTTGTTTCCATTGATGAGACCTGTGGTACGGAGGCTCGCTACATGGCAAACATCATCATTGGAACCTTGGAAATCGGAGGACCAGGTGAAGTGTTTCTGCTTATGAGTGAGGTGCTAGAATCCGTTAATCATTCCACAATTTGTAAACTCTTTGACAGGTTGATGTTTCTACTGTGGCCAGAGGGTATACGACATGATGACATCTTGCTTTTTGTGACCGATGCAGCCCCATATATTGTAAAAGCAGGCAAGACAATAAAGTCGTTTTATACGAAATTGATGCACGTTACTTGCCTAGCTCATGCACTGCATAAAGTGACGGAGGAAGTGAGATCAAAATTTCCTCAAGTGGATGTTCTCGTGTTGAGGATGAAGATTTTTGTCAAGGCTCCAGCTCGTAAAATACATTTTAAGTCTATGGCTCCTGGTGTTCCACTGCCCCCAGAGCCCAACATTACAAGGTGGGGAACGTGGATTGATGCTGCAATTTACTATTGTGATCATTTTTTGGTAGTGAAAAACATTGTAGGTTCAATGAAAACGGAGGATGCGAGGGCATTCGAAGCTGTTCAGGAACAGTTCTCGTGCATCAAAATGGAAGGACAGCTGGCCTTCATAAAGGCAAATTTCAGTTCCTTGACAGAAGGAATCCAATGTCTGCAGGAGAAAGGAGCAACGCTAGAAGATTCGCTCGATCTGGTGAAAAATATAGCCAGTGATTTGGAGAAAGTGTCAGGGGACACTGGTAAAATGGTGTCAAGAAAAATGAAGTGTTCTGGATAAAAACTCAGTTTATGAAACATTATGTAGCATTTCTCGAATTCTGTTGGGAGAGTCCTTCAGAGCTTTCAGTATTGAAGAACTTACTGCTAGTGATTTGGTACACTTCAAGTACGCTCCCATTGTGTCTGAAGACATGGAAAGGAGTTTCTCCAAGTACAAGAATGTGCTGTCGGACAATAGGCGCTCTCTCACTTTCGAGAATCTCCGCATGTTGACTATCATCTATTGGAACTCTGAATGAGGTAAGACTTAAATGTTGGAATACATACTGTATATGTACAGGGGATGGACAAAAATGTGGAAACACCTCATGAAATGCATGCCTGAACTGAAGTGTTTATTTTAGCGACGTTTGTAGGTCACGCTGTCGTATCTGCCCAACACCACTACCTGTACAACCTCCGCAATATGTTGCAAGCTTCATTTGTTGTCAAGACAGTGTTCTGTGCAATTTCTCGTGCATCACGTCAGAGCTAACAGAATTCAAATGCAGGCAAATTGTTGGGGCCCATATGGTGGGTGCTTCCATAACCAAGGTAGCCTAGGTTTTTGGTGTTTCGCGAGGCACAGTATCCGAGATTACGACCGCATACAGGAGGAGTGAAAAAACCGCATCCGATAAACACCAGCGTGGACAGAATTGTGTGTTGAGTGATCGAGATAGACGAACATTGCATAGGATTGTGATGACAAATAAGAAGACTACAGCTGCAAAAGTGACTGCTGAACTGAATGTCACACTCACAAACCCTGTCAGCACCAAAACAGTACGAAGGGAACTCCACAAGCAGGGTATTTCTGGATAAGCTGCAATTCCAAAGACACTCATCAGTGATCAAAATGCCACTAAGAGGACAGTGTGGTGCCGAAGTCATAAAACCTGGACTATGGAGCAATGGAAGACGGTCAGTTGGTCGGATGAGTCCACCTTCACACTGGTTCCAACTTCTGGCCGAGTTTACGTCTGGAGAACGCCATCCCAAGCTTACGATCCAGATTGTTTGCTGCAAAGAGTGAAACATGGTGGGGGTTTGATCATGGTATGGGCAGCCATATCGCGGTATTCTGTTGGACCCATCATTACCCTGCAAGGTCATGTCACTGCCAACGACTATGTGACCATTTTGGGTGACCAGGCCCATCCCATGGTGCAAACTTTGTTCCCTAATGGTGATGGATGCCATTTACCAAGCCAACAATGCCTGTGTTCACATAGCTAACATCGTCCAGGAATGGTTTTCTGAGAATGAAGATGAAGTGTCACGTCTGCCATGGCCCCCATAATCGCCAGATATCAATATATTGAGCCTTTGTGGTCTGTTTCGGAGAGCAATCTGCGTGCGTGCTATCCACCTCCATCATCAATGACAGAACTTACCATGTTTTTCAGGAAGAATGGTACAAGATTCCCTTGCAAATCATACAGGACCTCTATTTATCCATTCCGATGAGACTGCAAGCCAGAGGTTGTCCTACACCATATTAGTCATGGTAATGTGTTTTTTGTTGGGTGTTTCCATATTTTTGTCCACCCCCTGTACATTTGATAAGCGTTCTAACACGACAGAAAAACCCGTATTAAAACGTTTAGCTTCAAATTCAACAAATATTGCTTAATTTTCAACATAAAAATGAGGATGAACTTAAAAGAGTAAAGATGAGTTCAGTGTTAATAAAGATTAAAAATACATTTTAAAATAATTAGTTGATTTTATGACATATTACATTTTTGGGTCATATTTTAGGTAATTTTTCTGGATTTTTTGGGTCATTTTTTAAATATTTTCAGGTCATCAAAATCTGGGCCCTGGTTATGACAAACATCATATTCACTTTTGCGTCATGTCTCCTCTTTAATAAAATGTTTCCAAAAGGCAGAATGAGGAATATTTAACCCAGTGGAACTTAAAAGGTGAATGCAATGTAGCACATCATGCCAAAGATGGACCAATATGTTGACACAAAAAATTTCCTATTTCAGAATTACAAAGATGAAGTATGGGTCATACAGCATTAATAAACTAAAATTTACTTATTCATTGTTAAGTGCACAGTCAAGAGCCAACACTGCAGAAAAGTGTACATATGTGATTTGTACTTTCTCTCCTAGCACAAGACATGATATGGATAACATCTGCTCCATACTTAATAGCTAAAAGTAAAAAAGTAAAGCTATCCTTGTACCGGGCCATGAAGGTCCATAGGGTTTTGAGACGTTGAGTGTCCCACATTATCTAGATAATCGGCTCAAAGCTGGCGGTAAGGTTGTCAGCCTTACGTGCCAGCTGTGCTTTACTCCCCAGGAAAATTATTTAATTAATTCCTGGTACTCATTTCTGTTAGAGGTTGAGTCAACCCCAGGGCCATAGTGTGGCTGGAAGGATTAGGTAGCCTGAAAATAATCCAATGACCTTGTCGGGACTTGAACCTGCGACCTTCCAGCTTGTAGCATTGTGCCTCTACCAACTATGCTACCGCATGCCCCCCCCCCTTAATAGCTAAATTGCAACCATATGTAAAAATCACATCATCTATCATGAACTTTAAAATGTGGAAAACGTGCTGTTTTCTGTTTTCTTTATACCTTCCTCAAGGAAAGAATCCTCTAATGTGCCTCCAGTTTTCTTGATGATTTGGATAGCAGAAAGATTTCCAGATCCCTTGAGTCGCAGCACTGCATCCACAGCTAACTTGGAGAAGTATTCCTTGTGCTGCGACAAGATCTTGGAGCTCAGAGTAGTGCGGGCTATGTTCAGGAGGTCTTCATTAAACCGTGCAGTATCAGCACTGCCATAGAACATAGTACAAGAATAAGCAAGCTCTGGGAAAACAGTTTTCTGACCAACAATCTCAAGGCAACAAAATTTGACACAAATTTTAATACTTTGTTAAAAAAGACTGCCAAATATACTAGCATTACCTATTCAGAATGTTCTGACATTCACTGAATACAATATCATAAAATCTCAAGATAAACACAGAAAAAACACAATAACTATCCTAGAAACTACTGCCTATCCAAGGCCACTCAGATGCATTACAGGCTACAAGTTTAGTGCATATTCAATATGCAAACACATTTTGAAAAAGACCTCTAATCTTGCTATTAATTTAATTTTACATGAAGAAATGGAAATAAAAAAAACTTACTCATACAATATATCGCAGACATCATCTCTTCCATTGCTCTTAAAATGCACGAAGCTTCAGTCTCAATTTGACTCAAATGTTTCTCAGGATTTTTACTTTACACGAAGTTAAACATGTTCAAAATAATTAGTCATTCTTTGCATATAAGCACATGTTCACTTGTTCAAACTTTACAAAATCATTATTTCATATAACCACAAGAAAAACTAAAAATGCTTAAATATTCTGGAACATAAAATACTGGCTGCATCATAAAAATATTGTTACATTTAATGATCAGGACAATATGAGGTGTATCGGAAAGTTCCCAGACTACGTCAAAAAAGAAATGCTGGCGTAACTTCCTCAATTTTGCCTGCCACGTCCTTCAAAATAATCTCCTTGGGAATGTATATAAAGATCCCATCATTTTTTCCATGCTTAAAAAGCACCGTGGAAGTCATTTTCCTTAATGCTGTTGAATACCGCTTGTGATTCCCTTTCGATGCCGGACACTGTTTCAAAATGTTGTCCCTTCAGTTTAATTTTCAATATTGGAAACAACCATGTTGTTGTTAGTGACAAACTCTGTGGTTTTCAGGGACGTGTGAGCAGGCACTTTGTTGTGATGAAGGAGCAATGCTGTGCATTTTCAAATTCTCTGTTAAGATCGTTTGGCAAACTCCATAACTGATCCCAAAGGTGTCTGCGAGCTCATGGTTTGTTCAGTGACAGTCTTTGTGGATGAGTTCTCAAAATTTTTCAACAATTTCTGTTGTTCTGCTGGTGCTTGGTTGCCCTGAATGTTCCTCAACTTCAACTGACACTCAACTGGCCTTGAAAAGTGAATGATATTCAAAAACCATTGACTGGCTTAAAGAATGTTCTTCAAAAGCCTCACAAAGCATTTAAAGGGTTTCGGTAGTGGATTTACCAAGCTACACGCAAGAACTTGATGCAGGTATGTTGCTCAATTTTGCCATCCATCACAGACAAAACGAAACACAAAGACAAAAAAGTACTCGTGTAAAAACAATGCATGTTCACAGCATAGTGTAACGTGGCAGGATGCTATAGGCTTGCAGAAGGGTGACTTTGGCCTTCCTTCTCATCTTCTTTCACCGAGGTAGTTATAACAATAAGAGTCCAGGGACTTCCCAAGAGCACTAATCTAAAGAAAGGAATATGCCTATCATGAAAATTATACAGTATCAGCTTAACTGCCAACATACTATCAAAGTAATACTGAAAACTTCAATCAAGATGAGAAGAACATCATTGCTACTAGCTTATAACTGAAATGTAACTACTTTAAAGTCTAGTGTGAGAAAACATAAATAAGAGATACGAATTTGCACAGGTTACGTCGTCACCCAATGCAAGATATAAATATTTTACACTGGTATTTCTTCAGTATTCTTTAACTGGAGAAATCTAATACAGACAGACTTTGTTGCACTTCTCACCTATTATCCATAGATGCAGCTGTTAAAGCATCACGTGCTACTTGTGTTGCTTTTCTCCAACCAGTTATGATGATTTGTGGATGGATTTTCTGATCTATCAACTTCTCTGCTTCCCGGAGCAATTCCGCAGCTTAAAGAGATTGTATTCTCATTTGTAGTATAATGATGTAGGACATAACTGTTTCTGTACACAAGATATTACACACCAACAACAAAATCTTGCAACATGCCACTCTCACATAGTTCTGAATGGCACTTGGTGCTGTGAACTAGCTCTCTCTCATTCATTCACTCTTTCGAGTACCAGAACCCAAGGCTCATAACACTAATGACAAAATCTATCGATGAAAATGATCCCCATACAGTTCAATGAAATTCATATCTCACAACCTAGTTTCCTAAGATCCACTTTAATATTCTTCTACTTACTTTCTGATCTCTGTACTGATCACTTTCGAGTAGGTTTCAACAACAAAATTCTGTATTTTTTGTCATCCACATTCAAGGTATATGTTAAATCCACCCTAACCCCCTTAATCTGAATTACTTACACAGTCATGACATTCCTCATTATAAAATATTCTCCACTCACTGCATACTTCCTTTGACGTAGGTCTAAATATTTTCCTCAGTACTTTCATTTCTATCGCTTACAATTCATGTTACTAAAAAATGCAAATGTGATAAAACTGTTGTAGCAGGGATGAAAACAATTTCTGAAGTGAATAACAAACACTCTGTGCCATGAAAGAGAATTAAAAGAAACCTAAGAATCTACTAAAAAACAAGTGATTCTGACTAACTCAGCTGGCCAAACAACTGATGGCAAAGTTAAATTCTTTAACATGCACATCAGATCCACATCAGTGCCCTAATTTTCCATCTGACCTACTGGGTGACACAATGCAAGGAAACATAAATTTAAGAACTGACAGATTCAGCTGTCACCTTTAACCCTTACACTGCTGTGGTCGACATATGTTGATCTCTGAAAAACATGGTGTCCTTGGTGTGATCGACAAAACCCATATTGCAAACTTAGAGTTTCAAATCTCAGGTTTCTTTGCACCAATCTCATTCAACCTTGGCAGATGCATAGTCATCTATTGGGAACATAATGAAACATCATTCAAGGCACGCACTCCATGGTCATGTGGAGCAGGTATTTCTCAGGGCTAAAAAAAATGGCTTCGTACAGTGCGCAGTGCTTTCCATAATAGTTTTAAATAAAGTTGTGGACTTTGGTCAACATGTGACATAGTGATAAGACTAGGATAGTGAACTATGTACATTTTTGGCCATCTTGGACAACCCTGATTTAAATGGATTTTTCACCTGTGAAAAATACTGAATAATTTAACATTTTTGCAACTTCTGATGCCTGTTCCCTGTCTGAGGTAAGATTAGTTACATTTTATCACAAATTTTCATACTTTGCACTTAAATCATTTATAAAGGATTTATTCAAAAATAATTCAGCACAGAGGGTACTGAGAGTTACTTAACAAACTAGCAGTGAAAGGGTTAAGTAACGAAGGTGAAAGACAGTGATGAGTGGGGGGAACGTAACTTTTAATTAGTAGTTCTGATACGATCAAAAAGGTAGGTAAACTGAAGGAAGTAATCATTCACCTTCAGCACTTCACCAGACAATATTCACTCACGTGATTTTCTCCATTGCACTGTCTCCTCTGCCCCAGCCATTTATGAGAAAATAATTTTGTCATAAAGATGTGCTTTAAAAATAAGACAACTGCATTATTCTGAGTCTGTCAATCCAAAAACCGTTTCCAATATTTGAAACCACAGGCAGAAAGTGAAAGTCATTCAAAATATGTACCGATTACACTCTACTTACTCCACCTCAGTAACCCTTCTTGCAAGATGAACAAAAATAAAATAGTTTTATTCACAAAAACAATTATCTTCTGGGAGTTACACTAACACCTTTCAAATATTTACCCAGAACAGTAACAGAGGTTGTACCATCTCCAACTTCATCATCCTGTACATGCGACATATCCACAAGGATTTTTGCCGCTGGATTATCTACACCAATTGCCTTCAAAATAGTAGCTCCATCATTAGTAATCCCAACCTGGCCTTCATTCCTGCCCTGAGATACAAGGATCTTGTCCATGCCTTTAGGACCCAAAGTGCTCTTCACTAAGTCACCAATGGCTACAGCTCCAATAAAACTTGACAGCCGAGCTGTCTCTGCTTTATCTTCCTCAGCTTCACGCTTCAAGATTCTAACTGGATTCAAGGACACCTAGAAAAACAGGGAGAAAATCTGCAATTTAATACTACTCAAACTATTTTGTCTCTCAGAACTACATACGCATTCTGACGAAGAAATAATATTGATATAATTCTAATTAGTTTGGCAAGCATGTAACAGATTGTATTAATTTCATGAATTGCTGCAGACAATGCACTACCTAATAAAATTAAAGTAATTTCTAATGATATAAATAAGTTTAAAAACAATTTGAAGGAATTTCTGTATTTAAACTCTTTTTATACACTTGATGAATATTTTAATAAATAATGATTATACAACTAATGTTTTCTAATGTAACTATTTGGATGATATGGCCTACCAGTATGTGGAATGGCAAGTTGTGAATTTGACAGTGGTTTTCCCGTGATCTGTGTGTGTTATCCTGACAACTTGGGCTGTCTGTACAAGGCCTGATTGTATGTTTTATTGGACTAGGGACAAATGATATGTAGTCATCATGAAATTTTAATTTTGTAATTTTATAAATGTAATGTTTTTATATCTTGTATTTGTTATATATGTATAAGATATTCTGTTACTTTTGATGAAAACTTTTATCTTAAATTTTAATCAATGATAAATTTGAATGTATTATGCTAGAGACAAATTGTATTATGATGTAAACATGCACTGTCTTATTTTATAAGTCTTCTTGACAACTGCTTATGAGTATTAGCAAGATAAATTGACACAATTCTGTATCTAAGGCTTTTGCCTACTATATATGTAATGGAATAAGGAAATAACAATAATAATAATAATAATAATAATAATAATAATAATAATAACAACAACAACAATAATAGTATCCATTTCATATTTGAACAATGGAACCCAATTCTGAAATGTTACTGGAAATCTGAAAATGTGTAAAGATGGTGGGGATATGAAATGGCAACTGAGCCTCCAATACTAAGAACTTTGAGAATTCATGACAAATCTGAGGCTTGCAAGACACATCTAAGTAACATCCTGAGAGATGTTGCTCATCAGGAAGTGAGGACAGTGTTTCTGTGGTGTGTCAAGCATTCTCATGATAACAAAACCCATTAAGGCAGCTTGCTTGAGACACTAGAACCAGCTTGGCATGTCTGAATTGGAAATCATAGATGCCATAGCTGAGGAAAATACTTGTTATCTGGTTTAGTTTCTGACAGTTCCAAGAAAGGCAAAGGAAAGTGTACAGCTCCACAACACAACTGTTTGCTGTGATGAGGCCACATTCGGGCTCTATGGTATTATGAACTCTCATAGCTATGTCTACTGGTCTCTAGGAAAAGCAAACATTCATGTAGACAAGGAAGTAAATCTGTTGAAAGCTGACAGTGTGATGTGGACTCTAGGGGTACTGTGGCGTGGTTCTTATTTGTGTTTTCATTATACAGTGTTAACTGGCACAACATTCATTCATTCATTCATTCATTTATTTTTCGTTCCATGGATCCACAATACAAGTGAGATATAGGACATGTCCATACAGTGATTATTCTTAAAATTGATAGAGCAAGAGCTAAGTACATAAATAAAAAAGTATAAAATACAAAAATTGAAACAAAACATGTAGGATCAAGTAGATTCCAGTCATATAAGTTAATTTAATAAAACATGCAGTTTAAATTTAAACAATGTCAGTTTGAACATATCACAGAAATTGCTTAAATGACTAGACTAGAATGATAGAATAATGACTAGAATAATACTAATAAAAGACTGGATGATCAACAGGTGATTCTAGTGAATGCATAATCATTAACTTATAATGACTTATATTGGAAATATTCTTCCACAGAATAAAAATGATGAAGATAAAGAAAACGCTTTAAACAAATTTTGAACTTCTTAGGGTTGAGTGACTCTTCTTTTATATAAGAAGGAAGATTATTATAAATTTTTATGCCCATATAATACACTCCCTTTTGATATACCGTAAAATTTGCTATGGGTTGATAGAAATTTGTAATATGTCTTGTATTTATATTATGATTTAGTGAATTTGGAATAAAGAGACTTTTATTATTAACCACAAAGAGCATGAGTGAAAAAATATACTGTGAAGCCAAAGGCAAAATTTCCAATTTCCGAAAGAGATCTCTACATGAAACTCTACTATTACAGCCGATCATAATTCTAATTATCTTCTTCTGCATTCTAAATACTTTTATACTATGAGGCGAGACTCCCCAAAAGCAAAGACCATAGTTCATAACAGAGCCAAAATAAGAGTAGTAAATTGTTTTCAAAGTTTTTAGAGGCAAGTATGGTTTAATACTTCTCATCATATAACATGCTGAGGTAAGTTTTGGGATTATACATTCCACATGTGAACTCCAGTTGAGTGTATCCATTATGTTTATACCAAGAAACTTTATATTTGACACAGTGGTTACTGGACGATTGTTACAAACAATATCTACGTCGGTTGTGAGTTTATTTTTGGTTTTAAACTGCATACTATGAGTTTTATTAATATTTATTGAAAGCAAATTTGTCCTAAACCACTTATATAAATGATTAAAAACATTATTCATATTAATATGGAGATTTTCTGAATTTGAACCTTTAATTAATACGCTTGTATCGTCGGCAAACAAAATGGATATAGCATTGTTAATTACGATTTTGGGCAGATCGTTGATATAAATGAGAAACAGCAACGGGCCTAAAACCGAGCCTTGAGGAACACCATCAGTTATTTTTCCCCAAGAAGAATGGGTAGTTTGATTAGAATCTTTTTCACAAACTTGAATTCTCTGATATCTATTGTTAAGATATGATTCAAACCATTTTTTAGCTTTACCATTTATACCATAGAATTGCAGTTTAGACAATAAAATATCATGATTCAAACAATCAAATGCCTTCTCAAGGTCAAAGAATATACAACCTATTGGAAGTTTACTATTTAAAGCTTGCAAGGATTCATTAATTAATTTGTAAACAAATTTTGGATCCCATACTACCAAAGGTACAATCATTTTTTGCAAATAGCAGAATCCTTCCCCAACTTTCTCCAGTACTGAAGTTACATTATTGCCAGAGTAAGCCTGTCTGTAAGGTCATGCTCACATTGGTTTAGTTTACCGCATAGTTATTATGCTCATTACGCTTTTCCACAATATAGTAAAGTGCAAGATGATGGACAGTAGAAGACAGAGAGTAGACTGTGGAGGGGAGAGAATGTTCCTAAAAGCATAAGCAGAAGTTGCATCTCCACCAACAGTTCACATAATTTCCTGGTGTTTTACACTCATTAATGGCAATTTACAAATACTGCTGACCTTGTATAACTGAAAACGCATGCTCTTAATATATATGTACAATAGAATTTTGTACTATATTGAAAATAAACACACGTCCAGTGATTGAGGCTAGCTCTTTCTAACGGACCCAACAGAATAGGTGTTCCCCTTTTCCTTCACCTGAGGACGAAAACAGATCCAGTTTCCGAAACGTCGTGTTTTTGTTATCTTAAAAACCAGGACGATGGATAAAGTCCAGAAACCCAATATATCAGTGTGTTATACACCATCGTCAGAATCCTATAGTAACTAAAATTCATTCGCTTAACATGTGACATTTGTGCAAGACTACAGTATTGTAGAGCGAGTACATAGTGTCAAACATGGCCATGGTTTCTTGAAACATACCAAAACATTCATAATAAATAAAAAAATCAACACGACTTCATGTATAATTTTGAATTCATAACCATGTACAATTTCTGGAGGTTAAGAGCCAAAGCGTGAAGCTGACTACTCACTTCCAACTACTGCTTAGGTCAAGAATGGTGCAACTATAATTCCACTCCCCCAAACATCTTCATGATGTGGTGCTTCATTAATTAGGCAAAGAGACAACTTTAACTTTACCTTTGCTTCCCTATTTTCTTATACGGAATACTGATCACAACTACTCCTCGTACAGCACATTACACGTGGTTACAATTTGAGCATTCCTGGAGTAGTTTCTGAAGAGGCACAAGTAGTATACGACATATAATTTCATGGGATCAAAATACAACTCCGAAGGTAACAAAATGCTATACTTACCATTTTTACTTATCAAGAAAACACGCTTCCAACTCTCAGAAAAGTAGCTTTCAAGCACCAACTTATTCCAGCAATCAGCACCGATCGTCTACGACGGTATACGACCGCTCCGATCACTTACGATGACATACGACGACTTACGATCGCTTACGAACACTTGGAACTTGCAACCAAAGACAACGTTTGGAAAGATAGGGAAATCTATTTAGTGAACCATGCCTGGCACATCGAATCTCTCGATACCACGGAGTACGGGTACTAATGTGTACCTGTGTTTGTAATGCCGGCGCTACACGATGCTACGAACACCCTCCAACGTTCGACGCTTGATAGTTTGTCGCATCGTGTGGCCGAGCTTCCAATCTACGAGCTACGAATGTCGAGCGTCGAACATTCGCGTTTGGACACGTTCCAGCCACTGTCGGTATTTCTGCCCCGAGTCAAAGGAATTCCTAGAACGTTGGGAGGAAAACATTCGTTGGTTTGATGCACGGCTACACGAGTGGGTCGAATATAGCAGTCTTATCAGGTCGTAAATGCTGTAAGGAATTCCTAGAACGTTGGGAAGACAACATTCGTTGGTTTGATGCAAGGCAACACAAGTGGGTCGAATATAGCAGTCTATCTTGAACTATCAGGTGGTAAATACTGTTTGTTAAAATAGAGTAAAAGAGTAGAAGTAAATTATAGTCATTGATCTGTATTTAACAGGTCGGTATATTTTAACATTATAATTTTAACATATTAGACAGAGTTTTAAACATTCTTAATTATTTTTTTTAATATTCTGATCGTTCAATTAGGGTGTGATTTTACAGGTTTTTAAGATGGAATGGAACACTGAATTAATTATGGAATTTATCAACTTATACGAAAAACACCCAGTACTTTGGGATCCCAAGCATTCAAATCATAAAAATCGAAACAGTTTAAATGACGCTTGGCTGGATATTGCGAGTGAGTTTAGCATTGATGTAACTGTTGAATTATTACGAAAGAAAAAAGAATCACTTATGGCCACCTATAGAACTTTATCAAGAAAAGTACGAGACTCCGAAACAACTGGATCTGGAACCAAGGATGTATATAATCCATCATGGTTCGCATATGATGCCATAGACCGCTTTATTAGGGCTACAGGAAAGAAAACAACATCGTTAAGTTCAGAGGTAATTTTATTTCATATAGTTTATTTAATAAACAAAAAAACATTGTTATCAGTCAATTAACATAATCTTGCCATTCAACTGCTCCGTTAGTTATAAAATATTCTGCAAACTCCTTTCGAATATCTTTTGCCTCCTGAGATGGTTTTCTCGGTGTTTTGGAAAGAGGGGTAAGCGACGAATTGCTGGTCTCTTGGCGCCATGTTCCTGGTTTCAAATGTCCATCTTCTTCATAATCAAAGCTGCCATTTGGGCTATATATTTGCCTAGATGTATTACTTCGCCGTAGAAAATTATGAAGTAGTGCACATGTCATGCAAACCATAGCAGCTTTTTCAGGCTGTATCAACATCGGTGTTCTAAAAACGCGGAATACAGATGCTAAAATTCCAAAAACATTTTCTACAATTCTTCGTGCTCGACAAAGGCGGTAGTTAAAAATCCGTTCAATGCTACCCTTGGCATGATTTCCAGAATATGGTTTTAAAAGTGAGCTACTAAGAGGGAATGCATCGTCACCTACAAAAATGTATGGTACGCTCTTGTGGCGCCCCGGCAGAGGTTCGTTTGGTGGAAGCAAAAGTTCCCTACGTATCATTTTACGATAGAGTGTTGTGCACGCAAACACTCCAGCGTCGTTCATTCTTCCTTGCGCCCCAACGTCAATAAATGTAAAGCAATAATCTGCATCAACCAGTGCCAAAAGTATGATGCTGAACGATTTTTTATAATTAAAAAATTTCGATTCGCTATTAAATGGAGCTTGAAGTAACACATGTTTACCATCTATTGCTCCCACACATTGGGGAAAGTTCCATCGCTGATAAAATCCATTTGCTATTCTTCTCCAATCTTCCTCTGAATGTGGCAACTAGAAATAAAACAAGGATTATGTTTTTGAAATACTTTTAGTGGCATTATATATTTTTAAAATACGTTTAACCATTTTAAATGTCTTTTTTAATGAAAATATTTTAACTACAAATATTTTTATAGGAAACCGAGATTGAGGATGAGAATTCTCAGAATGAACAGGAGGTATTGAATGATCAAGAACTAGAAGAACAGGGAAATGAGCCTAACTTAGTCCGCGAAACAAGACAAGACATTAACAAGAATCCAGAGCGAGGATATACAAGTTTTGTATTGCCTCAAAGCGCTCCAGGAAATAAAAGAAAAGTAGGCCCCAATCCAGTCGAAGCAAATTTAGCTAAGCATTTAAAGCAAGCAAGTGATGCTTTAACAACTCTTACCACCAAATCGCAAACAAAGACATTGCAAGATGCACCTGCGTTATATGGGCAGCTGTTGGCTGCTAAACTTAGAAGCTTGTCACAAAGAACTCAACTTATCTTACAAAATAAAATAGATAACCTCGTTTTTGAAGCAGAACTCAATGAAATTGATAGTTCTGGTGCTACAGGTGGGCGTTCCGTTACTACTAACGTTATTTCCCCAGAACCTAATCCATCTGCATCAAGCAGTCATTCTTCTTCTAGCCCGAACTAAGTAACGTTACAATCGGTCATGGATTGCTAAACTTGATAAAATTAAAATGAATTTATTCTTATTTCATAGATGCTTCATAGACATAAGTCAAGGACGTAAAACATGTAACACAAATACAGCATTTGTTTTCAGAATAAATAAAAAAATTAATACAAAGTTGTAACAGCTAATCACATATCTACAGATGTACACGAACTAAACAGATTTAAAAATTTATATTTGCACGAGCAAATCACGATGTAGTTCAAGGAACAAATACACCTGGTTCAGGGAGAGTAATTACCTTGTCCGTCCCCACCAAATTGTCATTGCTGTAGAAACTCTTCGTTATTCGTGTGTAACATGGCAGCGGTAACGTGACAATCTATCTGAATATAAGCATATTTAATTATTATTATTATTATTATTATTATTACAGTAACGGTTATGTAACACCATATTAAAACATCACTCATAATATCTTGCTCACTAAACTTAGGACCATTACACTTAATTACTTATGCAGCTGAGCCATTCTTGATGAGAAGCCAAATGTGCAGCTACTCAAGAATTTCCCAGCATTTTATGGAACCCGAAGATTCATTACCGTGTTCACAAGAGCCCTCCACTGGTCCCTATCCTGAGCCACATCAATCCAAACCATCCCATCCTATCTCTCCAAGATCCATTTTAATATTGTTCACCCACCTATGCCTTGGGCTTCCCTCTGGTCTCCCCTCTGGTCTCTTTCCTTCTGGATTTCCCACCAATATCCTATACACATTCCTCGTCTCCCCCATTTGTGCTACATGCCCTGTCCACCTCATCCTCCTTGACTTGATCATTCTAATTATACTTGGAGAAGAGTACAAGTTATGAAGCTCCTCATGATGCAGTTTTCTCCAACCTCCTGTCACTTCATCTCTCTTCAGTCCAAAGATTCTCCTCAACACCCTGTTCTCAAACACCCTCAGTCTATGTTCCTCCCTTAATGTCAGAGATGATGTTTCACACCCATACAGAACCACCAGCAAAATTATAGTTTTGTATATTCTAACTTTTAGTGCTCCCATATATCAGTCAAAACACCACACAGTACCTGAATTCAACATGTGATGCAGCACCTTTCTGTCACTACATTGTGTGTGGAGATCCACATGATCACTGGACCTGAGCTCCCTTGACTTCCATGTTTGTAGGCATATGAGAGATCGTGGTTATAAATGCAAGGTTGACATACACAAGGACTTGTTTTCAGTGTTTTGCTGTGAAACATACGAAGTTGTGTATCAAGGCTGAATGCAAGAATTTGAATGTCTATACAGCATTGGAAGTCCAGTGTATTTGAAATAATGTGCAACCATGAAGTGTCATTTCTTGTAACAGTAAAGTGTTTTGTCATATTCAGATACCCCTCAACTCTTCCTAGCCCCCTAGCCGTAGAACCATAACTGCTGTGAATTGTATTCATGTTAATATAGCATTCTTCACTTACATTTACATAAAAATAACCTGAAGTTATGGCATGAAGTCATGAAATATCTTGCAGACATCATAAAACTCTGTAGATTTTATTAGAAACATTTTCAGTGTGGTGTATGTAATGACCTATGAGAGACTAATTACTTATGCTTTAGAGCACTGTAGTCCTTTTACTGTTGAGTGGATTTGACAAAAATAAATTAGCATAAAAAAAATGAGAGTGAAAAACTTGCAATGAATATATACCAGTGTGGAAATTCTGTGTACTCCAGACTTAAATTAATTATCTAGCTTTATTATCCTCCCACAGTGACCTTCCAAGCAATCGCTTCCATAAGCATTTATGTCTCCCCACATTTCATACCATAAGACCCAAGAATTTTAAGTCTGTATGCCATTTCTTAATATTTCTGACTTAATATGCAATTCACTTGAGCAATCACGCTAGAAAATAGTAGAGATGACATGTCACATCAAGAAGGGCACCAATCTGCAGTGAACATTACACTAGCTATCCATATCATTATTCTAAGGCCATGCCATAGCTTAAGCGATTAGTCGCTGGCTTCCCACCACTGTGATCTGGGCAAGTGGGATTTGTGATGGACAAAGTGGCGCTGGGGCAGGTTTCCTCCGAGTACTTCGGTTTCCCCTGCCAATCTTCATTCCATCAAATTCTCCACAAATAAGAATATCTAACTAATTCTAAATTGTAATCAACTGTAAACAATTGTAACAAATGTAATTTTAATCTTACTCATATATTAAATTGTTAATATTCAGAATTAACTTGACTTGTCCTATATCATGTACAATGATCTACAGTGACGAAATCAATCAATCACAAAAGAAGGATGAAGCTCTGAAATAAATGAATATGTTAATTCCTGTTTTATTAATGTTATGGCCATCAGCATATAGCAGTGCAAAACTAAATTCTGATCCTTGTGTACTTTTCAGGAATATCTTTGAAATGCTATTTCCAAAACACAGACTTTGTCAGTGATGTTCAGACTTCTATAGATCCAAAGCCCCATAAAGCTGAAAATGAAAACAACAGTATGCATAATAGAATGCTTCTTCCCTTCCAAAAGAGCAAAAACATTTTTGACATATGCAATGTCAAATGATACTAATTCATTGGTGATTTTGTATTTGAGGAAAGCTTGATTATAGAAGTACAGACCTCTTTACCCTTGCACACATAAGAAGCCTCCTGACAGCAGAGAAAGGCCCAGGAGCTACCAATTAATCTGACTTGTTTGTTTTCAGGCACTCTTATTCCCTTGATCATGATCAAATAGTTTGCCTTTTAAGGAATGACACAAGGGATTAATGAAAAGAAAATTAACAAGTTTATGACCTATGAGGAAAATGAAATCACAATAAAATGAGAAGCGAATTAATGTGGGAGTAAATTAAATGCTAATTAGTCTTAAGCAGTATTATAATGTGAAGTATTAACAACAACTTCTGGACCAATGATGATTCAAGAACAATCAAACAAGAACAATACATCATCTTATTTAAGTCTTCTTTCAGTAACTTCCTCTTTATTTTGGAGTAAGAACTGATATGGAATTCAATTTCATATGATTGAAGCATACTGTATAATTGAAATATAACATTTTCTAGACTTGAAATTAAAACTAGTATACAACAGTAGTACAGTATTTCACTCAAACATATGAATCTCAGAATAACAATATTTCTCTTATTAAATACATTTGCAGCATGTAGGAAAAAGTCTGATGCAATATAAATTTACCAGTGGTAAAGATGTATACTTGAAAAAGAGTTTCTTCCTATATAATTGACAATATGCATGTATATAGAAAGTATTTTACATCTATTCAATGCAAACCATTGCACTCACAATAAGAATAATATTCCAAGATATAAGCAGTGAATATTCTGTAAAATTCATTCACTTTTCCACAAAAAAATACATAAATTGTTATTGTGTGCCATGATGCATACATGTACAGATAGTGGTGCATTGAAAATATATACATTCATTTGTTCTGTGCCAGTATACTAATACACACAAAAAGGTACAATTGTATTAAAAAAAACAGGCACTGTTTCATTATACAGAATCGAAGTCCAGTTTGGCTCCCATTCTTCGGAGTGCTATGATCGTATTGACCGCTTTGATCCATCGCTTCTTGATGACATAGCGTTTCAGCTTTACTTTACTGAGTGTCGTGTTGACAGCCTTCTCGCTCAGCCACTTGTGTTTCAGGCACTGGTTTGCATTCAGCCGCGCTCTGGGAATAATATTGCAAACACACATAACCCACCTGTTTGTTTATAATTGTATATGCGTTCTGATACTCTAAGTTTGCCATTTTTTATCTTATAGCTACACTCCATATTGTGAAGGTAAAACTGGATTCTTTTTCTCAGTGGTTCTAGATGACTGAAAGTAAGTGGCTATTGAGGTCATGGTTTGTTGACCCAAAGATTCTTCCTCTGACCAATCCATGGAGATTGCCTTGCGACAGGTTTCTTTTGTACCACATGTTAGTGTTTGTTTATCATCCCACTTGTCAAGCAGGTGAAGGAGGAGGTCTTTAGTAATGTCAGCACCAGGATGTTCAGAACTGTCTGATTCAGGGGAAAGCTGGGGTGATAGTGGAGCTGAATGGCTAGAAGAGGCAGAAGACTGGCTGTTATAGGTGGATGGGAAGGTGTCAGATGAGTTCCGAGATGAACATGGAGATATGCCAGTAGTGTTAGCAAGCATGAATGAACTGAAATTGGTAGGAGGTGCTGGTGCACCAAGAGGAACATCTCGATTCAGGTTTGAGAAGCGAAATTTTTGACGTTTCACTCCCACTAATCCCTCATCTTGAATACTTTCTCTTCTGTTAGGTACTGGTGGTGTTGGGCATGGTGTTCCAGTAAAGGCAATTGAATGCATGGGGCCATGGTGTAGGCTCTGGTTTGCAGAACCAGGAGAGGGATTTTCGCTGAAATCATTACTATTATTATTATCAAGATCTGAGGAGGGACCATGTAAGGATGCCATTTGGAACAGTTTGTCTGAGAGTTTGCGAATTTCATCTGCAAGATTGACCCTAGCAGCTGTGTCACCATTTCTCCTCAAGACACAAGAACTGTCTGATGCTCGACGCTCAAATGCCTGGAGCCTTTCCAGGTGATATTTTGAAGAATGAGGTTGCTTGTGTTCAAACATATAGTGGAAGAAGTTTCCTGTCTCCTCAGGAGATTTCCCCAGGAGGTCATGTTCAAAGATGGAGTCAGGAGAGCTGGATATTGAGACAGACAATGAGCTGCAAGGTGAGGGAGACAGACCTCCCAGGGAATTCTGTGATGGAACTGTCTCAATGTCTGGTGTCATAAAAAGACAGGGAGAGATGGTTTGGCAGGACTTATCAAACAAATATGGGCTGTTTGGATGCTCATTCCACCGCTCCACAAAGAAGCGTAAGTTATCTTTAGCTACGTCGAGTTCTTCTGCAACTGGTGGTGGTGGTTTTGGTTTTGTCCTCAGCCAATTATGCGCCAGGCACTGGGTAGCAGACATGCGTCGCCTGGAAGGGAAGGCAGACAAAGACCCAGAGTTAAGAACAAACTGATGCCACCAATCACACTACAATCAAACCATTTCCAGGAGAGAAAACAAAAGAAATAAACGGGTAAATCCGATAAAATAATATATCATCTGTCATGCAAATGTATTAATAGTAACATTAATAAATAAACACTTCATACATACACTGGAAATCAGACCTGTTTTATTTTAGGCACAATCTCAGATTTACTGTTTTATACCCTTCTATGATACCTGTGAGCTGGATAAAAGATGTTTTATACATGATTTGTAATTAAATATAAAATGGTAGAATATTAAGAAGAAAGTAAATGTACACAGTTAGTGGTCCTTTGAAAAAATCTGAGCCAAAAATACAAGGAAACATGGCTGTTGGATTTTTTTACTGCTGCTGTTTACTGAAGGCCTCAGGATTTCAAAACTGCAAATATATCAAATGTATGCACCTCCTGAAGTTTCCTTAGATGTATGTAAAACAAATGTGTCATGGGTCAGCACTCCTTCTCGTATTTTAGAGGTATTTGATATGAATGTTGCCTACAGCACTGGCTAACCTTAATCAGTTTTATTTTGTTGAATACTGGAATAATATCTTGAAACTGGCCACAACCATTTTATTCCCTCTTCTTTTTGGTTCATCATTACCATTTTGACCTTTTATCTCAGACTGCTGCAGTTCATGCAGGATAAATAAAAACCTATGGTGACTACTGTAATAATACCTTGGAGTGGACCATAACCACTTAACCCCCTGTTCTCTCTGTCTCACTATTACATTAATTTCTCCTCTCATACAATGCTACATAACCATTGCAATTGATGCAGGATTATTAATAACATATGAACTAAACCAACCAGCAATGAATGACAAATACAGTACATGTTATATATCAAGCATTTCTAGGAATCTCTAGATTTTTTAGTTATATAAAGTTAATTTGCGATTAGCAGAAACTTTGAGATCAGAGAAATACAGCTATTAGCATTACTCATGCCTCATCACTTTTATGATAATAATCATGCACAATTAGAACTACAAAATAAACAAAAGCATGGGCCTTTGTCATACCTTCAACATTTAATCACTAATCTGATCTCATGTATCTATATACTCGTATATGCTACTTACAGTAAGACCTACAAGCTGCTGAAATTATTACCCAGCTGTCCAGTCATGTCATAACCATATGCAGACATCAACCAGTACTTGTGAAAGACATTGTTAGTTCAACATAATGCTGTTGGTTACTACCAGAAAGTTCCATGCTAGTACACTGAACTAAATGCTGGTTTGGTGTTTAATTATGTATTATGACAGATGATAATCATGGTATATGTACATACTGTGTAATCAAAACAAAAAAACTGTACATGACAGGACACTGAACAAGCACCATTATTTATGCTGTAATCACATGTGATCAGATTTGTCAAAGAAAGCTAACTGCACAGAGAAGGGGACACACATATGCTAATTTTCTTTTGAATATTGTCTGACAAACATGTTTTGGTTTTGTGGATGTTTAATGAAGGTATTTAGAATTTCAAGGAAAGTATCGGCTATTTAATCAGATGTTCCAGAAGTAATTCCAGACATCTCTCAAGTGTCATAAATGTTCCTAATATCTGATATCAAAATCTGTTCAAAAAGAGCATATACGAATAATGGACAGAGGTTAGGCAAGTACATATAAATTTCTAACAAGCTCTTTTCTAATATGCTACATTACAGTGCCTTAAAACAGAGTTACATTAAAAGAAGTCTGTCCAATTAATTAAACTGGAGGTTTATATATGGGGCAGTCAAATGAAAACGGGTCACCATGCATAACTCACATGGTGTGCAAGTTGGTGACACTGGAATTTGCTTACAGTACGAACATCTGGTGAGGACTCGGAAAAGCACAATGACAACGTGCCTTTGCACACTTGTCGTTTGTTTATTGTGCTGGAAGTAAGGTTAGCGCTACATGTGGTCGTCCAACATCAGTATTGGAGGCGGGTAAAGAAGAACAGAGAAGTGTGCGCTTTTTTACTGCTGAAGGAGTAGGAGGACGAGAAATTCATCATCGCACGTCTGTTGTTTATGGCAAAAACAGCATGTCATGTTCGTGTGGGCTGGCGTGGCATAAGAGATTCCGAGAGGGACATGTCATTGCAAGATGTTGCTTGCCCAGGACAGGCTCATCGTGACATCAATCCTGATGTTATTGCCGCGTTGGATGGTCATATCCGGGCAAACCGACCGACTGATCACTGTTGAAGAAATTAGTCTTTTGATGGGAATAAGTCATGGTTCTGTACACGCAACTGTGACAAAACACCTGCTGTACCACAAAATCTGCGTGCAGCGAGTTCCACATCAACTCACGGAGGAACATAAGACTTAGAGATTGGCCGCATGACTGGGTCGCTTGCAACGATACCATGAGGAAGAGTATGCTTTTCTCTCCTGTATTGCCACTGGGGACGAAATTTTGTACCCCAATTTTGAACCTAAGAGCAAACGGCAGAGCCAACATTGGAAACATATGAATTCTCCCCCATCAAAGAAATCCAAAGCTGTACATACAAGTTCCGGTAAAGTGATGATGATGTTCTTCTTCAACTACAAGAGCCCTCTGCTTGTCGAATTTCTTCAGCATGGGGCCACAATCAGTGCACAGCGCCATGAAGACACTTTGCAGAAAGCAAGACGTGCCATAAAGTCAAAAACGCCCTGGAATGCTATCGAATAACATTGTCCTTCGTCATGATAATGCGCGCCCCCACACTGCCAACTTTGTGAGGAATACACTACAGATATTTGGTTAGGAAGTGCTTCAACATCCCCCCTACAGCCCAGATCTCTCCCCATGTGATTTTCACATTTTTGGAGCCCTGAAGAGAGACATTCGTGGACATTGGTTTGCATCAGACAAAGATGTGTGTAGCTGGGTAAAGATGTGGTTCCGTAGACATCCCACAGGCTTTTTCAAGGATGGGATTGACCATCTTATCTCCCAGTGGGATTAATATGTTAACAGTTTTGGAGATTACTTTTGAGGTAAGAACTGTTCTATAATATGTTTTGGCTTCTGACCCATTTTCATTTGACTTCCCCTCATATATCAGTTGAACAACAGGTTGAAAACAAATTCTAATATATTTAGTTCCCTTTTTGTCTTACCAAAGCTTCATTCAACTACATTTTTAAAATATATTAGAAGATATATAAATTAAGAACATTAGTAGAACAATTATTTTTCATATGTACAGATTGTTACAAGAAGTATACTGTATGCACCAATGAGTTTAAAAAAATATCTGTCAGAATATTGCCTATTTGTGTATTTTTTCTGAATAGCAAGTTTTCTTCACAACTGACATTCAAGCTTTTCATGTTAATCACTTTCAGCCTTTTCTTGACTGAATGATTATTCTCTAAAACAATATGATATTCTGTGGAAACCAGTTCTCCCTACATACAAAGTAATACTAAAGAAAAACAAAACTTTCTATTTTGGTAGCATACAGAACTACTAAGTTGTAGCAGCATTTTCTTCCATAAGACATAAAAAGAACATAAATAATAGCCTTTTGCCAGAAATTAAGAAAACTAAGGTCAACATGCAGTCACGGTGATAGCTTTCAGCAGTGCTTTATTTGATACTTGAAGCATTTACTATTTTCCAAAACTGAAGAAAATACTGTACCACTCCTAGGCCAGACTTGTGAAGCAGTGTGTTTGAAAATAAGCAAAATTTGAGGTATAAGTTGCTGATGTGTTTTTTATTGTTACAGTTTTAGAGAAGGTTTAAACAAAATCTTTCAATTTTAATACAAATTTCCATTTACCTTAAATGTTTTGCAGATCATTTACCAAAAATGGACTTGAATCTTATGCAACTCCCATGAATGTAAATTAAACATTTCAAATACAAAAGAGAGTGCTGATTTGAAGTTAGATACTGCTGACAGGTATTATATACCAACGAAAGTAGTAGGTAACTAAATATGTAGAATACTAAACATGAAGTCTGAAATATTAAATGACAGCTTTTCTCCAATGATTGTGATAAAATAAATTCATTAATATTCAGTCTGGTACCAAACTGACCAAATTTATAAAGTCATAGGTTGACGGCATTCATAAGTTCAATAGTATAGAGCACAAAAATTGCTGTCTTTTGCGATTTGAAGCTATATAGTCTCATAGAGAGGTACCAGTGATTCAGAAGAACTTGCTGTTTATGTGTGTGTGTATATACAGACACACAGATGTTGGTACAGATTAAGAATCTTTCCACACATGATAAGTTTATTTTTGTATTTAATTTGCATTATGAAAGTCATACTGTTCTGTGGTAATTGGAAAGTTTTAAAATAACAAATTGAATGACAATACCAGATAAGTATATACCTTAAATATTCTAAATATATTTTCGATGTGATAAAAAATCCACATCTTGATGATAGCTAATTCATTATCATATTGGTATTCCGTTTGCCAAATTACATTTTGGAAAAATGTGTACAATCTGGAACATTGTTATTTTCTTTCTGTATGAAAAATGTTGACAATCAAGATGTGCAGCATGCTATAACATTTAACAAATACTGTGTCTGAAAACTACCTAGTAGAAATAACATAGTTAGTCATATAATTTATGAATAAATGAAAGTGAAGCAGAAATTCTACTGTGAAACAAGCACCAATTTGTGAGCATTCCATTTTTGTAGATCCAAGAGAAATTTTTCTTTTATTAGAGTTTGTATGTTTACACAGCTTGTATTTAATTTTGTCAAAAGACAGTAAAATCTTATATAGGAATTAAAAATAGTATAAGTAAAGTAATTAACATACTCTTTGTCTTTCAGAAGCAACTTCTGAATAAAATCCTTTGCATCCTCTGAGATTTCATTGAAAACTTCATCATCAAAATCATACTTGGCTATTGTTACATTTGCCATTGTTTCAATATCTGTTGCTCCCATGAATGGTGACAGTCCAGAAAGCCTGTAAGAAGTAAAAATATGTAATATTAACCAGGGGTTTTCAATGAACATGTGCTGATACCCATACTGGTAAATTATTTCAATTTTTTTTTAATTTTAATTTATTCTGTTGATCCATACTGGTACAACCATCAGCTATTATTATTTTCTTTTATTGCTAGTGGGGTGGGACTAAGTCTCTTGTACTGTGGCCACTTCTGGCCTATTATACCAGCCCCAGATAATAGGTGAGGGTAATTGTGGAACAATTGNATAATGATAAATAAATAAATAAGACATGCAATCATTAAAAGATTTTGTTGAAAAAATATAAATAATAAAACACTGTAAATACTACAATTTCTTTATTAAAACCATCACAACACAACTATATTAAGGTCAGTGCCTAGATTTGGCTCTGCTACATGTTTCGGCTATTAAAAGCCATCATCAGGCAACTACATGGCTAACATATATACACCACTGAACTGCAGTACTAGTAAAATTGGATACAATAATATTAATTATATTAAAATATTTGGCATAAAAATACAATAAATTAGAATATATAAAACAAAAGTTATAGTATAAAACAAGAATAAAATTCTTCGACCACATACACAGAAGTAATATTAAGAGTATCATTAATAATATTTGTTAATGATACTCTTAATATTACTTCTGTGTATGTAGTCTTATTTTGT